GGGCCGGGGGGGTCGACCAGGGCGGAGCGAAGGAGGTCGAGCGAAGGATAAGCTTAAAAGTGCCGGGGCCTGGGGTGGGGGGGCCTCGGGGAGATGGGTCACGGGGGAGGGCCCGGGGAAGAGAGGGGCCAGGGGGAGGATGGAGTAAGACAAACGAGCTTTGAACATGAAGAGGCGCAGGGCCAGGGAGGCGTCGCAGGGGGAGGCGCCAGGGGGGATGGCATGGGACTCCCCAGCGATCTACTGTCGTCGCCGCCGCCGCTGCCGCTGTCGCCATCGTCGTCGTCATCGTTGTCGTCGTCGTCGTCGTCGCCGTTGGCGACCCTCTCCTCGCGCGGCGTCCTTTGCTGCACCCTTCCGCCCTGAGGATGCTCTTCAAGAGCGGCAATATCCTCGGCGGGTCGCTCGTAGGAGCCACCTTCCTTTCGGCGGCGACGGTCAGGGGGGGGCAGTCTCAGACGGCTCGGAAGTCCCCTTGCCTTCTGAGAAGCTTTCTAAGCCTTCCCCGAATACACAGAAAACCATCTAGAAGGCCCGAAGCCTTCTGAGAAACCCCGCCCTTCTCACTCCCTCCCCCTCGCTCGCTGATCCTTGAATGCTCGGTTTCCTAATGGCCACGCCTGAGAAGGATTTGTGCCACCAAGGCGTTTCCTTTCCTCCCACGACAAAGCATACCCCCCGTACGCCGTACGAGTACACCTCGATGAACATTGCGTGATGCAATCGGGCGGAGCATTCTGGCGAACCGAATATGTGTCTGTCTGTGTGTGCGTGTGCGTGTGGAATATCGAGTATCGGGCACAGCATTATGCTCGATACATGGTCGCTCCCAGCGCCTTGAGGCACCTTTAAACCCGCTGCGTGTAGCTGATTCGACTCCCCCACGGCCTTGCTACCCCCTTTCGCCTCCCCCTGAGACATGAAATGGGAAGAGACATGCCATGCAATGAGGCCTCTGAGCTTGTGTGTCCGCGGACACCTGGTTGTGGCTGGGGGGGCGTGGTAGAGATTGCACACCCACTCTTCGGCCCGAAGGTTTCGCCTCGCCTCTTGCTGCCCACGAAGAAAACAACAGCTTTCCCACATGGCCATCTTCGATTAACCGTCCTACACATGCCTGGCTGCGCATGGTGATTGTGACAAAGTTCGAGTGACAAGGCACTCCGCATTTGTCTGATGACTGCTCTCGGGAAGGTGCAATTCGTTTGATAATTGTAACGACTACCAGTGGCGACAGCGAGGAGGATAATATTTGACCCGCGTGCCCGCCTTCTTATAAGCATCCTGCGTCCTCCGGATCGCTGTGCATGATGACTGTGACAAAAGGCCGAGTGGCAAGGCACTCTTCAGGTGTCTGATGACTGCTCTCGGGAAGGTAACATTCGTCTGATAATTGGAGCAGCCGCCAGTGGCGTCAGCGAGGAGGATGATATTTGACCCACGTGTCCACCTTCGCGCAACCGTTCTGACCATTGCTGCGCATGACAGCTGTGACAAAAGGCCGAGTGGCAAGGTACTCTTCAGGTGTCTGATGACTGCCCTCGGGAAGGTAATACTCGTCTGGTAATTGCAGCAGCTGCCAGTGGCGACAGCGAGGAGGTTTCTATTTGACCCACGTGCCCGCCTTCTTATAAGCATCCTGCGTCCTCCGGATCGCTGTGCATGATGACTGTGACAAAAGGCCGAGTGGCAAGGCACTCTTCAGGTGTCTGATGACTGCTCTCGGGAAGGTAACATTCGTCTGATAATTTGAGCAGCTGCCAGTGGCGACAGCGAGGAGGATACTATTTGACTCACGTGTCCGCCCGCGCAACCGTTCTGACCATTGCTGCGCATGACAGCTGTGACGAAAGGCCGAGTGGCAAGATACTCTTCAGGTGTCTGATGACTGCTTTCGGGAAGGTAACATTCGTCTGATAATTTGAGCAGCTGCCAGTGGCGACAGCGAGGAGGATACTATTTGACTCACGTGTCCGCCCGCGCAACCGTTCTGACCATTGCTGCGCATGACAGCTGTGACGAAAGGCCGAGTGGCAAGATACTCTTCAGGTGTCTGATGACTGCTTTCGGGAAGGTAACATTCGTCTGATAATTTGAGCAGCTGCCAGTGGCGACAGCGAGGAGGATACTATTTGACTCACGTGTCCGCCCGCGCAACCGTTCTGACCATTGCTGCGCATGACAGCTGTGACAAAAGGCCGAGTGGCAAGATACTCTTCAGGTGTCTGATGACTGCCCTCGGGAAGGTGACACTAGTCTGATAATTGTAGCAGCTGCCAGTGGCGACAGCGAGGAGGTTTCTATTTGACCTACGTGTCCGCCTTCGCATATTCACCCTGCGTCCTACAGGTCGCTGTGCATGATGACTGTGACAAAGGCCGAGTTGCAAGGTACTCTTCGGGTGTACGATGACTGCTCTCTGGAGGGAACAGGTGTTTGATGGAGCACGTCAGGGAATGCATTCCTCCTCCATGGAGGGGCTTTTTGTTCGTGACGCTCATCATTCGTTGGTCGCATGACTGCGCACGGTGGCAGCTCTCAAACAGCGTGGAGGAGAGGCCTTCCTCCGTGCTTGCTGTCCGATCCTCCGTGGCGCGTGCCCTTTTCCAGAGTCCCGAGTCGTGAAGCGACGACAGCAGGCACATAATGCAGAGCCCGCGCGCTGTGCAATTGTTTGACTGCCCCTCTCTCTGGGATGTGCTAGATGAGTAGTAGCTGGAGGAGCGACGGGTGGGGGCGAGGTGAGCGAGGATGGATGAGGAGGAGCAGGAGCAGGAGGATGACGAGGGAGGGAGGGAGATGTCATCTCTGTCCGTGGCGCTTCCTCCCTTAGCTTTGAATGGAGAGATCCCCCCTTCCCCATCTCTCTCTCTCTCTCTGTCTTCCTACAGCCAACCCGCATATTCTAATGACGAGCAACTTTCCAAGGTCACCCTTGCATCCTTCCCCTTCGGCCCTTCCCTGGCCGCTTTCACTGGCCGCGCCCCGCTCGCAGAGTGCCGAGGTTGCCTTCCAACGCCCTGGCATCCTTGTCGTGCGTCGTCAGTGCACGGGTTGACTGTGCCGCGCCTCAGCGCTGTACGCGTTCATCATACCCTCGGTGAAGATGGTGCTGCTGATCCTCGGCGAGGCGGCCCCCCGACGGGCCCCGGGGCCCCCCAGGAGCGCGGAGAGAGGGGCACGAGGCAGCGCCCTTTGTGGCCGCCCGTGCCGGGGGGACCCAGATTTTTCCGAGACAGGGCGCTCTTTGGTGTAGGGGGAGCGTCGAGGGAGCAAAAATCACCCCGACCCCAGGAAATGGCGCTTGCTAAGCTGCACTGGGCGTTTGCTGAACAGCCCTGCCCTGTTCGATTCCCTCCTTGGGTGCGTTCACTACATGGCTGCGCTTGTCGGGGTGCTTCTTCTGAGGGTGGATTGTTTGCACCCTGGGAATGGTGGGGGGCGGCTGGAGGTTTTTAGCGCTTCGCGGCCTCCCAGGGCCCTCTTTGGGCCCAGGGTCCGTCAGAAAGCGGTTCAGGATGAAGAACCTGTCCAGGGGACAAGCTCCTGGGCTCCGAGACCCGTTTCCCTCAGGACCTCTTTTTTCTCATGCCTACCATCCGGGGGACAGAGTGCGGACGGGGGTAATTATGCAGACTTCCCATTTTGGCGCGGGCTCTCCACGCGCGGGGGGAAGGGGGAGCAGCAGGCTGGGGGTCATGATGGCCAGGAGGAGAAACGGACGAGGAGAGGAGGAGGAGGAGGGGGAGGAGGAGGATGAAGATGAGTACGATGATGGCGTTGGTGACGCTGATGATGTTGACGAAGTTGTTGTTGGTGATGAGGAGGATGGCAGGTTGAGGCGATGCCCTATTCCCTCCCTCCTTGCTCCTCCCTCCACCCCCTCTTCCTCCTTCCTCCCTCCGGGCTCCTCCCTTTTCCCTCCAGGCTCGGCCCCTAGATTCTTGCCGGGGCTCCCAGGTGTGGCCTCGAGGGGGGCCTCCAAATCCCCAGAGCAGGACGAGGATGCGCTTCACTGGGCACGGCCAGTTGACCCGCATGTTTCTTTGATTTTCTGCACGCCGAGTGGTGGTTTTGCTGCCTCGATGTCGGGTGGTAGGCTCGAAGCTCCAAGCTCGAAGCTTCTGAAGCTCGAGCTCGGCTACCTCCTTCCGTGTACCCCCCCCGAAGCTCGAAGCTTCTGAAGAGCATTCTTCTTGATACGAGTTCCAGATAAGGCCAGGCTTTCCCTCTTTCCCGTCTCCCCTCCTCCCCCCGGTCCTCCGCCTCTTCCGCTCCCCCCGCCCGCGCCCCCTTGCACTGTGGCCCAGTATCTGTGACTATCGGCCACCCTCTGCCGCGGTGAGTGGGCTGCTCCTCGAAGGGCCAGGCGCGCCTCGGGCCTCCGAGGCCATTGAGGCGTGAGGGTCCCCGAGAATACAAGAGCCCCCAGCTTCAATGACACAGTGAAGCCGTGGCCTCACTTAGGCCTCCGTCTTTGGATTGGGGATCATAAGCCTGGGCGGCTGGATTCGACACCTCTGCAGAAAAGACCACCCCGGTCCCCAATGTTTTTGGCCTCCTGACTCAGGTCCCCTATTGATAATCGGACGAGGGGGAGGAGGGGGGCGGCAAGGGCTTCGCAGAGCATCCTTCTCCCTTCCCTACCTTCTCCTCCCTGCCCCCACTTTTCCTGTCCCTCTTCCCTGCCCTCTCCTCCGGCGGGCGCCCCCCCTGCGCCCCCAGCAGGGCTGGGGCTTCGCAAGCGGGGGGGGCCGAAACGAGCCCGTTTCGCGTTTCCTCCCGGCGCCCCGGGGCGTGCTCCTGCTCGGCGTGGCCTTCCACCTTTCCGTCTGCGGTGCTCTCTTGGCACCCCGAGGGGGGGGGGCGCCCAGAGAGTGGCCCAAACGCCCAGCCTGTGGAGCTGCTCGCACGGCCGCTGAGCCTGTGTGTCCACGACCCCAGTGCGCGAGCGCATCCAGACTGGCTGCGAGGCTCCCTGCTGGGCGTGCCCTCCGTCGATGGGCGCGTTAGTCACGCAGTCCGAGCCTCGGCAGGAGATCTCGCCTGCTGATGCGCCCGCGGCCCTTCGCGGTATCCCGGCGGTGCCGCGACCAGCCGGTGGGGGGAGGCGTGCGCACTGCAGCCGCCGCATACAAGCGTCACCAGGACGGTTCCGATTATGCTGGCCTGGGCCACAGATCACGGGCAACGATGGGGGGGAATAGACATACGGCATAGGGAGGGATGCATCGAGCCCCAATCGTCCATTCGTCGCCGATAGGGGCCCGATAGCCCCAACCTGTCCAGACAGGTGCGGATGTTTGTCGCCGATGTACTGGCGATCCATCGCCGATTCCAGGTCGATGCACTCCCCCTATGCCAGTCCCCTCCCTATCGTTGTCCCTCGACAGAGTGAACTAGGAGGACATCTTCGTGCCGCCCTGCGGGGCCACGTGGAGACGCGACCGAAGAGACGCAGCCCGTACTGTCCAGGAGTGGATGAAGGTGCACGCGAGTTTCGAGCGGGACGTGTGTGCGCTGTGGCAGCTTCCGCAACCATCTGCAGCTGCAGGGACACAACAAGCAGCGACGAGGCCTCCTAAGGGACCACGACTGGAGTTGCACAGTCTGGAGAGCTATAACCTACCCCGCTCTCACGGCGAAGGGTCGCCGGCGCCCAAGTGGGGAGGAACCGCCAAACAATTCAATGTGTTCATGGATTGTGCGCCACTCGCGGCGGCTTTTAGCGGACGCGCGCGCGCGCCTGACGCAGAACTTGGCAGCGTTGGTCTCCACAGTCACCTCGAAGCTCTTTTGCGTGCTTCGGCGCTGATGGCTACCAGAGCAGGCGTGGACAGACCCCTTCGCTTGGCGACGCTGGTGCTACATCAAAATCACAGAACATTTGGTCAACCACACGATGGCCAGGCGACGTTTGTGGAGCCAGCGATACATATCGCCAGCGGGCGGCTTGCGCACGAAGGGGGCCAATTATCTCATCCATTTCATAGGGGGGGCCTGCGGCGTCAAGCTGGTATTCTTATCCGGCATGCATGGCTTGGATCGTCATCGAAAGACCAGTGTCGTCCCTCAAAGCTGAGGCCACTGCCTCAGAGATCGCAGCCGACATGTTCACCACTCTTACCACTTCTGGCTGTTCGTGACAGCAGACATGGCGTGATGCGGCCGGTGCGACAGCATCTTAGGCTCAGGAAAGAGAAAGAAGAAAGGGATGGCCATAACGCCACCAGGTGCGTTGGGCCCAGGGACTGCCTACCACCAAGGACAAAGATCAGATGCTTCACGACGACTGCAAAGACGACGACGAGTCACGAGCGATGGCGAGGGACGATGAAAAGTGACGAGAGCGCTGACGACAATGCTCGCGACGAGGGACGAGTGATGACGCTAGACGACGACGAGGGGCGAGCGGCGAAGAAACGTGGCGACGTCTGCGAAAGACGTCTCATTATCGGAAGGCGACGAGGAACGACGAAGAATGACGACGACAAAGGACGACAATGAGTGACGACGACGATGGGAGACGACGACCAGGAGCGAAGACGACGAATACCGACGACTGCGACAAACGACCACGGCGAGTATCGACGACAAGGACGAGCGACGAGGGACGGTAAGAGACGCCGACGATGACGGCGACGACGACAATGAGTGACGATGACCACCGCGAAGGACGATCGTCAGAGGACTCACGACGATGAGGGACGACGGCGAGTCACCATCGATGACGAGGCATGACGAAGTGTCAGGACGTCAAATGAGGACGATCAGCGGCGACGACGATCAGCGACGACGACCTTGAGGGACGACGATGAATACCGACAACGGCGACAAGCGACCAGGACGACTAACGACGACGAGGAAAGAGGGATGGTGAGCGACGCCGACGACGAGTGACGATGACCACCGCGCAGGACGACTGTCAGAGGACTCGCGACGATGAGAGACGACGACGAATCACGAGCGACGACGAGTGACGACGAGTAGTGCCGAACACAATTGACGAGCGATGAGGTACGGGCAACGACGAGTAACGAGGACGGCGACCACGGCTACGACGTCAACTGACGATGACGATTGCTGGTAATGGCGACAATCACGACAACAACGACGATGACTGGTGACAAAAGACGACGGATCACGATGCCGGTGACGGCGACGGCAACGACGACAGTCGAAGACGGTGGCAACGACGGCGAACGGCGATGACGAGCGACGACGACGATTAACGACGTCGACGAATTACAACAACGACGAGTGATGGATGGCGACGATTGCCGACGATGGCGCCGACGAGTCACGACGGAAAACGACGACGGTGTCGACAATGAAGAGTGACGTCGATGACGGCGACGACGACAATTGACGACGACGAGCAATGCCACGATGAGTGACGGCGATGATGGCGACCACGACGAAGACCACGGCGGGTGACAAGCAACGACCATTTTCGACGGAGACGGCGGCGCTGGCCACGACGTCGGCAACCGACGACGACCACGTGCGCGATGGTGACGATTTGCGACGACGGCGAGGAGGACGACGGCGGCGGAAGCGACGGCGACGTGGCAAGCATGACCCAGAGCGATGCCGACGCCGGCGAACGATGACGACGAGGGATGGATTACGACGACCGATGGCGACGATGACGTGTGACGACGACGACCACGATCAAACCAGCAAGGGTGGTGCTGCTTACAACGGGCGACGAACGTCGATGAGGGAGAGTGACGGTGAACCACGATGACAACGAATACGAAGACGACGGCGAAGGCGTGGACCGGGGCTGACGGCCAAGGGCCTCGCTCTGCGGGAGCACTGCTTGCCCATTGTTCGATCTGTGTAGTTTACATGTCGACGGAGAAAATGGAGCGTAATAGTCAGCCAAGCATATCGTCGGAACAAATTTGCAACTCTGCGAAAGTGAGCACCATGTTTGGAAGTGATTATATTCAAGCACATCCCATCGCCTTCAACGAAATCAAGGAATTCCCCGGCAACAGCAACACGTAACGCAAGCAAGTGCAAGCAGACCCTTCTAGAAGTTCTTCGGCGCCATCTTGGCACCTCCCTGGACCTCCCAGGGTTTGTCGACCCCATCTTCCCCGAGGGAGAATATGGCCCCCGCAAAGGGCACGAAGATAAAAAGGTGCGAGGGAAACGACTCTAGGGCGCGAGGGATAATCAGACGGGCACCGCACTCAGGTTAAAGTGGTTGAGGTGTTGTGCGTCGTTGCGTGGGCTGGACATCACAGCCTGGTGCTTTGGCTCTTCGGGATTCCAGAGATTCCGCCATCACGTAGTGATCAGAGGTTGGGGGGCGATATCGCAGTGGAACAGAGAACCCCCTATCAGGAAATCGGTTTCGATTTTGTGTTCGTGTCGTTAGTACAAGCGAGGCGCAGTTGCGTGGGCTCGCGAGAGGAATGACGTCGCCGTGGCGGGGGGCTGTGGAGCCGGTTGTCCGCCCCCTCCCCCGCCTGGCGCGCGGTGGCGTGGGGGGGTTCCGCCGGTGGCGCGGTGTTCCCCGTCGGTGTCGCAGGGTGTCCCGACGGTGGCTTCGGGTGTCCCGCCGTGGTGTCGATGGTAGCTCGTGGGATCAGTTGAGTGGTCGATCGAGAGATCGATAGTGAGATCGATTGCGTGGTCGATCGTTATCGAATCGTGAGGTCGATCGTGAGATCGAGAGATCGATTTGCGAGATCGATAGTGAGAATGATTGTGATATGGATCACAACTGATCTTTGGCTGGGGGTGTCCCGCCGTGGCTGGGGGTTCCCCCTCGTGGTGTCCCGTTGGTGTCTCGTGAGATCTCTTGTGATACTGATATTGGGATCGATAGTGAGATCGATAGTAAGACCGATAGTGCGATCGATCCAGAGAGCGATTGTGCGATCGATCCAGAGAGCGATTCGTCGTGAGATCGATCGTGCGATCTGGTGTTAGATCAACAGTGATATCGATAATGATATCTGTTGTGATATCGGCGCTGATATCGATAGTGATATCGATCACAACAGATATCACGATCCATGTGCCGTGTTCGTCCTGGCTTGCCATCCTTACTTGCCTTTGATATCGGTCTGGCGCAACTCGTGAGCGTAATTTCCGTTGTGGTGGCGTTTAGTTGGCCCGCTGGTGTCCCGATGATGTCTCGGAATTGCCCCGCTAGTGTCCCGATCGTACTGAAAGCCATTCGCTTTGAGATTGTTAGTGAGATCAGTTGAGAGGTCGATACTGATAACGAAAGTGAGATATATTGTGAGACCGATCGTTCGATCGATCGATAGTGAGGCCGAGTGTGAGATCGATACTGAGATCGATAATGACTTCGATAGTGAGATCGGTAGTGAGATCAGTCGATTGGAGTCGAATGAGAGGTCGCATTTGCGTGGTGTGAGTTCCATCGCGGCTGCCTTCATTACAATCACCATTATTCATTCACACCATGACCGTCATCATGCAATGTCGCCATCTCATCGCCATCACAGTCATCGCAGTTGTCAGTGGGTTTTCCTTTCCCCCCAAACCTCCTGGTCACCCGAAAGTTGGCCGTATAGGTATGATATTATGAGAATGGCACGCCCAGTGACCTTGACGACGCAGGCGACGGCAATGACACACGACAAGCGCGCACTGGAGGCACCGGGAAGAGGCTGGAGGGAGGAAGTAGGGGGGAGGAGGAGCAGGAGCAAGTAGAGGCAGCAGGAGCAGGAACCTGGAGCCACCTGGCGCCCGCTGCCGAGGCCTGGCGCGGCAGCTGGCCGCGCAGGGCGCGTGCGTGCGTGAGGGCTGTGCAGTTCGTCTCGAAGTGGGCGTGCCCGGAGCCGCCTCCCGCCCATTGCCGCAAGGGCGCCCTCGAGGGCGCGAAGTTCTTCGCGCTTCGCGGTTCGGCTCCTCATCCTCGTCCTCCTCGTCCTCCTCGTCCTCCTCGTCCTCCTCTTCTCCCCTGGGGGGCGGCGCGAGAGCGCAGAGTTACTCGCGCAGCGCGAAGCGCGAAGTTAGGCGCCCTTGTTGCCGTCGCCGCCGGTGGTCGCCCGAGACCGCCGGTGGCCGCCGCCAGCCGCCATCGAGCGCCTTCGGCGGCTGCCAGGTGGCCATGGGCGGCCCTCGACAGAGAAGCGGGTCCAGGGCCCGTTTCTCGTCTCAGGGCCTGGCTTCTGCACAGCCCGTTGGATCTTCGAGCATCGAGCTTTACGCCGTGCGCTTCCTTCAAGGGAGGACGCACCAGGGTCTATTTCGATGGGATTGGTCCGACTCGATGTCGCTTTCGACCCGCTCAATTCGATTCGATTCAGATGTTCAGTCGATGCAGTGCGGCACGATGCTCGCATGGTGTTGTTGTGCATCCTGGCGCCGTCGATTCGATTCGAATTCGATTTCGTACAGATGCAGCCCAGTCCGACGCACATTCCGATTTTGATCAGGTTCCCCGATTCGGTGTTGACTGATCCAGCAAGCCTCGAGCTCATCCCTATATCCTTGTTTTCACATGGCCATAGCAATGGCAGTCTTAGGGGTGCGCCCTCAGAAACTGAGCTGATACTTAATATCGGCACCGACCGAGATCACAGGATCCCCGTCCTGAGGATAGGGATATGTTTTCGGCTGTTAAGATTCATATTCATTCGAAGTGTTTCCCTCATGGATGCCAAGCGTGCCCTAGAGCAGACAAACCCTGGAGAGGGGCCCTCTGGGCGTCGGGGGACCTGCCCAGCAGAGCCTGGTTCAACAGCTAGCTCTGTTCCGCAGAGCTTGGTTCAGCAGAGAACTGGTTCCGCAGATGTTGGTCCATCAGAGTATCTTCACAACGCAGACGGTTTCCACAGAACCGGTTCGACACACCTGATTCCAATTATCCCGTAGCATAGAACAGTTTCTCTAGAGCAGATTTCACAGAACCGGTTCCGCACAATAAGTGCCCGAGAACCGATTCTACACCATCGATTCCACAGAACCAGTTCCGCAGAACCCGTGGTGCAGATTTGGTTCTCTTCAAGCGGGACTGTGGCGCGGGGGCCACGGATGGGGGAAGACACGACGGTGAGGATGGATGAGGAGGATGAGGAGCAGGAGGGTTAGGAGGACAACGGGAGCAGGACGAGGAGAAGGATGACCAGAGTAAGCTTGGATGCGTCCACGATGCTGCGATGCACACTTTCGGCTCGACCCCCGCCTCATAAGTCCCTGCATGCTTCCGTCTCACTACAGGAGGTGCCCTGTTGAAGAACCACCACCCGATCGGCCTGCTTTTTCGGGGAGAGCCTGCTTCGAAGAGGAAATGCTGTGCGTCCTTTCAGCGAAGGACATGTGTGCGAGAAGTTGTGATCAGAAAGATCGAAAGTGCGCCAGTGTATCTCCCTGAATACACTAAAGGGGGGGGGGGGGGGGGGGTCCAGAAACCCTCCCCCTCCTTCCCCCCTTCAAGGGGGGGGGGGGGGGGCTCCGGACCCCCCCCCCCTCCCCCCCTTAGGGGGGTTGGGGGTTCCCGAACACCCCCCCCCCTTTCCTTGAGGGGGGGGGGGGGGGGTCCGGATCCCCCCCCCCCCTCCCCCCCTTCGCGCTGGAAAGGGGGGGGGGTCGGACCCTCCCCTCCTCGTGTAGGGAATACGGTGTTGGGAGTAAGGAGTGGTGAGTAGTGAGTAGTGAGTTGGTGCGTAGTGAGTAGTGGGTACTGGGTAGTGAGTAGTGGGTAGTGAGTGGCGAGTAGGGAGTAGGGAGTATGGAGTGGGGAGTAGTGAGTAGTGAATCATGAGTAGTGTGTACTGATATGTGAGTGAGCAGTGAGTGGGGAGTAGTGAGTAGTGAGTATTTCGTAGCGAGTAGCGAGTAGTGGGTACTGAATAGGGAGTAGGGAGTAATGGGTACTGGGTAGTGAGTAGTGGGTAGTGAGTAGTGGGTGGCGAGTAATGATTCGTGTGTAGTGAGTAGTGCGTAGTGCGTAGTGAGTAGTGAGTAGTGAGTAGTGAGTAGTGAGTAGTGAGTAATGAGTAGTGAGTAGTGAGTAGCGAGTAGTGAGTAGTGAGCAGTGAGTAGTGAGTACTGAGTACTGAGTAGTACGTAGTGCGTAGTGAGTAGTGAGTAGTGAGTAGTGGTGAATAGAGAGTAGTGGGTAGTGGCAGTGGGTAATGAGTAGTGAGTAGCGAGTAGGGAGTAGCGAGTAGTGAGTAGTGAAGAGCGAGTAGGGCGTAGTGACTACTGAGTAGTGAGTAGAGAGTAGTCAGTAGTGAGTAGTGGGTAGTGATTAGTGGGTAACGAGTAGGGAGTAGCGAGTAGTGAGTAGTGAGTAGCGAGTAGGGAGTAGGGCGTGGGGAATAGTGAGCAGTGAGTAGTAAGAAGTGGGTAGCGAATGGTGGGTAGTGAGTAGCGATTGGTGAGTAGTGGGTAGTGACTAGTGACTAGTGACTAGTGACTAGAGACTATGTAGTGACTACTGAGTAGGGAGTAGTAAGTAAAGAGTAGTGATAGTGAGTAGCGGGGAGTGAGTAGTGAGTATTGACTAGCGACTATGGGGGTAGCGAGTAGTGAGTACTGAGTACTGTGTAGTCAGTATTGTGTAGGGAGTAGAGAGTAGGGAATAGCGAGTAGCGAGTAGTGGGTAGTGAGTAGTGATTTGTGGGCAATGAGTATTTAGTAGTGAGTAGTGGATAGTGGGTAGTGGGTAATGAGTAGTGATTAGTGAGTAGTGAGTAGGGAGTAGTGAGTAGTGCTTCGTGAGTAGCGAGTATTGAGTAGTGGGTAGTGAGGAGTGAGCAGTGAGTAGTGAGTCGGGAGGAGGGAGTAGTGAGTAGGGAGTAGTGAGTAGCGAGTAGTGGGTGGTGGGTAGTGAGTAGTGGATAGTGAGTAGTGAGTCGTGAGTAGTGAGTAGGGGGTAGTGATAAGTGAGTAGCGAATAGCGAGTAGTCAGTAGTGGGTAGTGAGTAATGAGTAGTGAGTGCTCTTTGGGGCTGGGGTTAGTGGTTGCGGTTCGGTTTAGGGGTTTGGGTTAGGGTGAGGACTAGGGGTAGGGGTGGCGGGGGTCGGGTTCCGGAATCACGGGGCGGCGTGGCGAAAGGGGGGGACGGGGGGGGGGGGTCGGACCCCCCCCCCCTTTTTGAAAGGGGGGGGGAGGGGGGGGGAGGGGGTTCCCCGACGACGGATCGGGGAAAGGAGGGGAGGGGGGGGGCTTCCCCGACGACGGATCGGAGAAGGGGGGGGGGGGGTCCCCGACGACGGATCGGGGAAGGGGGGGGGTCCTAACCCCCCCCCCTTGGGGAGATCCAGCGGCGCACCCTCAGATCAACGAAGTGTTCAGCGAGGGTCTTATTTTGGAATTGTCCCAACACCCGTCCGTGTGACTATTTTGCCATGTCACGTCTGGTCATAAAGTTTGAGGAAGTCTGCAGCGGGAGCTCCATTTTGGAAAGGAAGAGGCCTCCATCTTCGTAGCTGCTGCAGACTTGAAGACGAATGTGCGCTGCGCTGACACGAGAGCCGCATTGAGAAAGCGTCTGGCCCTCCATCATTGAAGCTGTTGCACGGCGCAGCGCCGAGTGTGCGCGGCGCAGAGGCGATATCCGCATTTCCAGCACGACCTGCCCTCCATCCTTGGTGGTGTTTGCTCATCTGAGTGCAGGGTGGTAGACCGCATGGAAGTCTGAAGCGAGACCCCTGAGCCGGCCTCCAGACACGTCTGATGGTGCGAGGGGGGATGTTGCCGACATGGGAGAGGGATGGGGAAGGTGGGAAAAGAGAGCTTTGAGTCGCAGGGGGCGAGGAGGGGGAGGAGAGGACAGACGAATCCTTTCCGTTTTCTTTTCCGAGATAGTGGTGGATGCGCCGTGGTGCAATCTTTGCACTCGTCGTCGTCGTCGTCGTCGTCGCCACTCTCGTCCTTAACCTCGTCGCCGTCATATTTCTAGTTGCGGCAGGTAAGGAGGAGGCGGAGGAGGATGAGGAGGAGGAGGATGAGGAGGAGGAGGAGGAGGAGGAGTGTCTTGGCTCATTTCTCCACTGCT